CTGCCAGTGGCAAGAAGCCTCTTGCTATCGGGCCCCCACTGGGAGTATTACTTGGAAGTCATGGTGAATGCCGCAGGGAGGAAGCCGGAGGAACGCAAAGCCTGCTTGTGTCCCCCCCGGCCCCTGCCCCAGCTTCTCTCCAAGGGCGCATCCCAAGCATGATGCGCCCTGACTCACAGATTTGGGTCTTGGGGGTTAGTTTGGAGGGGAAGCAGGGGGCGGAGGACCGGATCGGGGCCCTGAGCTGGGTGGGCTCCGAGCAGCGGCCCTTCTTCTGCTGTTCTTCCTGAGAGAAATGTTAGTTTTTGCTAAATCTTAGTCCAACGGGTGATCTGCTCACAGCTGTTGGCCATGAACGGATTATGAACCCCCTTATTCAGGCGTGGTCTATCTTTGAAGAGGCACAAACCTCAGCAGAGGCTCTCCTGGCTGCCGGTGGATCTGTTGGCCAAGGTGCTGCCAGGACCCTTCCCTGGGGACGAAGGCAACCTGGGAAAAATGGCAGATTCCTTGAACTGCAGCTGCTTGGCTGGGGGGCTTTGAAGCTGCAATCCAGCGCGTTGGGAGGGCAGAGGGTGAGGAGGGCTGGCGAGAAGGCCCAGGGCACAGCTCCCCGAAGGCCCAGGGCCCGGATCCTGGCTCCTTTGCAGCTGGCGCAGGGGTGGGTCCCGGGACTCAAAGGGGTTGGTGGCATTTTAAGGACTAGCACGTCTGCAAAGTGCTGTGTCCTCGGACGTGCTGCGAGGTCGCGCCTGGGGACAGGTCGAAAGGGGGCCCTTCTCACGCGATGGGTGCCGGCCTAGCCCCCCTCTTCCCCAGCCACCTCATTTCCTGAAGGCCCCCGAAGCGGCCCTTTGCCGGGTTCTCTGCAGACGACTGAAAAGGGAAGTCAGGGCGCGGGTGCTGCAGGTAAGGGAAAGAGCCCCTTTCTTGGGAGGGGACCACACAGACCAGGCCAGCTTTGCTGAAGGAGAGCCCCCCAGCCAGGTCGAGGGAAACCAGCCACTTTCTCTGCTCTTTGTTTTGCAAATCTTTCAGGAAATTGATGTGGGATGGTGCTTAGGCGATGTGGGCCTGGAAGCTGCTGCCCGGCGAGGTAAGCGGAGAAGGGGGTGCCCAGCCGGGCAGAGGGGGAGGGGCACGGGCAGACCACGGACGGACGGAGGGCGGGGCAGTGCCTATTCTCGGGGCACACGAACAGTCTCTTCTCCGCACAGACGCCCGCACGTGCGCCCCCCACCCACCGAGCCATCCCGTTCATTTCCTCCTTGGCTGTGTATTGATGCGCTCGGATTAGGGCCTGTGACAGACAGGCTGAGGGAGGCCTCAAATACCTGCCCCGTTTCTCTGGGTCTGGAGGTGTCAAGTGAGCCATTAGCCCCCTTCGAGTGCCAGGTGGGGAGGGGACACGCTTCCTGGGGGGGTTACTGGATTGCGATCATATGGGAACTACAGGAAAGAAATGTGTGAACGCTACAAATTCAGCATCTGGGGAGGAAGAATACGTGGGAGTAACCGAAACAACATAGAACTGGGGGATTCTTCAAAACACCCTTTCCGTGCCATTTGACCGGTTCTATATCTCCATCTGTCACCTATTTATCTATGATATCTATCTCCATCTGTCTGTCCATCTTTCTGTCTCTATCATGGAAAAACAGCTCTTGCTTTTTAGATTCATAACGTTTTTCTTGGCCCCGTCTGGCTTGCCTGAATCACCAGCCCAAGACACCTTCATGACTCCTTCCCTTCCCTCCCTCCCTCCCTCCCTCTGCAAGCCCCCCAGGATTAGGCCTTGGGCAGGAACCAGCTGAGAATCTGGGAGCGCCATGGTCCCTGCCCGCCCCGGCTCACCGCTCCTGTGCCTTTTCCCACCCC